CCTACCAAGCATGACATCCTTCTCCAGGGAATGGTCCCTTCTGACAACATGACCAAAATAGGTGAGACAAAGTCTGGCCATTCTTGCTTCCAAGGAGCATTCTGGCTGCACTTCCTCCAGGACAGATCTGTTAGTTCTTTTAGCAGTCCACGGTACTTTCAGCATTCTTCGCCAGCACCACAACTCAAAAGCATCAACTCTTCTTCGGTCTTCCTTATTCATTGTCCAGCTTTCACATGCATACCAGGCGATTAGAAATATCATGGCTTGTGTCAGGCTCACCTTAGTCCTCAAGGAGATATCCTTGCTCCTCAGCACTTGATACAGTTCCTTCGCAGTTGACTTTCCCAATGCTACACGTCATCTAATGTCCTGACTGCTGCTTCCGTAGAAATATAGAAAACCAAAACCAAATCCGTTGCCACCAAGTCAATTCCAATTCTTGGTGACTAGAATGTAACCAGAGTAGAACTGCACCCCACAGCATTTTCCAGAAGAGCCACTTAAAAAAGTCAAATTGAACTGAATTAAACAACATAGATTTAAAAAAAAAAAAAAGTCAACAGGAAGCCATAACAATTCTAAGTTGTATGTATGCACCTAATAATGTAAGCATGAAATAGGTAAATAAAAACTAGTAGAATTATAAGGAAAAAGGGGATATTTAAAATAAGAATGAGAGATATTAAGATACACAAATATTTGAAAAGATACAACAATTCATATAATATAGTTAACAGGTTTATCTATGAAAATATTTAGAACAATGTAGGAACTGTCCTTTCTTTTCACACAAACACACAGAAAAAAAAAAAAAAAAAACTTGAAACAGTTTTAAAAATTAATCATATGCTAAGGCAGACATTGGCAAAATAGGGCCCACGGGCCAAATACTGCAGCCACCTGTTTTTGTAAAGAATTTGTTGGAACATAGCCACACCCATTCATTTAAATGCTTTCTCATTTAAATATTGTCTAAACCAAAACTCACTGCCATGGAGTCAATTTTGGCTCATGGCAACCTGCATTATGTTTCTAAGACTAAATCTTTATGGAAGCAGGCTTCCTCTTCTTTCTTCTGCAGAGCAGCTAGTGGCTTTGAACCACCAATCTTCTGGTTAGCAGACAAATGCCTTAACCATTATACTACCAGAACTCCTTAAATACTGTATAGGAGGTTGTTTTTCACTCACTATAAGGTAGAGTTGAGTAGTTGCAACCAAGATCACATAGTTCACAAACCTAAACTGATATCTTATATGGTCTTTGACCAAAAAAAAAAAAATTGCATACAGGCCATTTTTCTAACCACAATGCAAACAAAAAAATAACCTTAAAAATATATGTTTGAAAACTAAAAACTACACTCCTGAATAACTCATGGGTCAAAGAAAAATCATAATGGAAACTAAAAAATATTTAGAATTAAATGGTAAAAATACTATAATATTAAAACATGTGGTATGCAGCCTAAGTTGAATTTAGAGGGAATGTGTAGCCTTAATGTTTACATTAGAAAAGGACAAAAAAGAAAAATTCAGTGAGCTAAATGTCCTACTAAAATATTAGAAAATTAATAGAATTAATAAATACAAAACCTAGTTTTTTAAAAGTCAAGAAATCAGATGTCATATTGCCCTGGGAAAATCTGCTGCAAAAGACCTCTTTAAAGTGTTAAGAAGCATAGATATCACTTTGAAGACAAAAGTGCGCCCTAACCCAAGCCATGATATTTTCAATTGCTTTACATGCATGTGACAGCTAGACAATGAATAAGGGAGACTGAAGAAGAATTGATGCCTTAGAATTGTGGTGTTGGCAAAAGAATATTGAAAATACAATGGACTGCCAGAAGAATGAATAAATCTATCCTGGAAGAAGTGCTGCCAGAATGCTTCTCAGAAGTAAGAATGGACAGACTTTGACCTACTTTGGTCATGTGGTCAGAAGGGACCATTCCTTGGAGAAGGATATCATGCTTAGTAAAGTGGAGGGTCAGTCAGTGAAAAGGGGGAAGGTCCTCAACAAGATGGATCAACACAGTGGCTGCAATGATGGACTCAAGCAAATTACTCGATCTCTCTAAATGGCTGTTTTCTTATCTGGAAATGGGGGATGGGTGGTTCAATGTCTGTAAAATCATTAGTTACATTGTAAATTAAATATGACAATGTATATACAAAGCACAAGTTAAACATGTAGTGATGGCTTGATAATGGTAGTTCTGATCATTTATTATTAAGATGGCTTTTTGTCAAAAAGAAGCCACAGAGATGTGCACAAAAGCTATAGACAACAGAGGCAAATCCTAGTACATGCACAATACTGCATTACTATTGGCACCAAACACTAGGCTATGGGTAAATGCAAAGACAGGTGAGAAGATCAGGTGGGGGTAGACAAACAAGAATACATCCTAGACCAAGGATAGACTTGGCTGAAGATCATCTTACATGTGTACTTACACTACAAAATTATCGACACACATCACAGAAGTAACAGAGGACAGGGTTGGAGTAGCTTCTAAGAGACAACCAAACGCCTAGAAAGAGAGAATCACTATCAGGACCATAGTCACAGGGGACATCATGCTCAATTGGCACAACATAGTACATAACAATCTTGGTCTACATCCTACTTTGGTGAGCAGCGACTAGGGTCTTAAAAGCTTTTGAGCAGCCATCTAAGATGCAACTCTTGATCTCCTCTCATCTGAATCAAAGAAAAGTGAAGAAGATCAAAATTATCTGGAAACAATTATTCCAAAGATATGATGGACCACAAGGACCTCAGCCTTCATGACCCTGAGACCAGAAGAACTAGATGGTGCTGGGCTACCAATGCCAACCACTCAGAGAGGGATCAAAATTGGTGATCCTGATTAGAGTAGTAGGAAAAATGTGGAATAAAATTCAAAAACACAAAAATGACCAGAATTACTGGTCAGAGACTGGTGGAACCCCTGACACTATGGCCCTGGGTTTTCCTTTGGTTCCTAAAAATGGACTCACTTCTATGGATTGCTTCTCAGCCCCAAAGTAGAAAGACCTACATGCAGAAGATCTACTCCAGGGAGAAGCACCCACCTATCCTAGGGAGATGCACTCCTTAGATCAATCAGCCATGAGACATTAGAGGGACAGCATTCACATACAGGCAAAGCTGGACAGACAGGAAAACATAGATAAGAAGGGCACAGGGAGGGGATAGTCACAGGGAGGAGAAGGGAGGAGAGATTTTTATGGTTGGGATTGTTATCGGGCCATGAAATCAAATGTGCATGAACTGCTGGATGTAAAACAAATCTGCTTTGTAAATTTGCACCCAAAGCACAAGAAAAGAAATAAGATGGCTTTTTGTCATTGTAAGCTTTTAATAAACATTATTTTTTGAAGGCTGCCAAAAGGCATATTATATGAATATTTCATAATAATTTTCCTAATGGAAATGTGAGGAGCTCTGGTAGCATAGTGCCTAAGGCACTTGACTGCTAACCAGAGCGCTGACGGTTCAAACCCACCAGCCACTCCTCGGAAGGAAGGTTGGGCAATCTACTTCCACAGTGATACTGCCTCGGAAACCCAAGGAGGGGTCACTATGAGTTGGGCCCAACTCGATGGCACATAACATATAATGGAAATGTGGAATGAGGGATATCATTGCTGATGTCAGATGGATCTTGGCTGAAAGCAAAAAATACCAGAAAGACATTTACCTGTGTTTTACTAACTATGCAAAGGCATTCATCTGTGTGGATCATAACAAATTATGGATAACCGAAGAATGGGGATTCCAGAACATTTAATTGTGCTCATGAGGAACCTGTACATAGACCAAGAGACTGTCATTTGAACAGAACAAGGGGATACTGTATGGATTAAAATCAGAAAGGGTGTGCATCAGGATTATATTCTTTCACTATACTTATTCAATCTGTATGCTGACCAAATAATCCAAGAAGCTGAATTATATGAAGAAGATGGCATCAGGATTGGAGAAAGACTCATTAACGACCTGCGATATCCTGAGGACACAACCTTGTTTGCTGAAAGTGAAGATGGCTTGAAGCACTTACTGATGAAGAACGAACACTACACAGTCTTCAGTATGGATTACCCCTCAATATGAAGAAAACAAAAATCCTCACAACAGGACCAATAAATGTAGAAAAGATTGAAATTGTCAGGGATTTCATTTTACTTGGATCCATAATCAACACCCATGGAAACAGCAGTCAAGAAATTAGATGACATATTGTACTGGGCATATCTGCTGAAAAAGACCTCTTCACAGTGTTAAGGGCCAGAGATGTCACTTTGAAGACTAAGGTGTGCCTAATCCAAGCCTTGGTGTTTTCAGTCATTTCATATGCATATGAAAGCTGGACAATGAATAAGGAGGACTGAAGAAGAGTTGATGCCTTTGAATTATGGTGTTGGTGAAGAATATTGAAAATACCAAAGACTGCCAGAAGAACAAACAAATCTGTCCTGGAGAAAATGCAACCAGAATCCTCTTCAGAAGTGAGAATGGCCAGACTTTGTTTCACCTACTTTGGGCATGTTGTCAGAAGGGACCATTCCCTGGAGAAGGATATCATGCTTGGTAGAGGGTCAGCAAAAAGGGGAAGACCCCCAGAAAGATGGATTGATGCAGTGGCTGCAACAATGATCTCAAGCATGGTGAAGATTGTGAGGATGGCACAGGACCAGGCATTGTTTTGTTCTGTGGTACATATGGGTTGCTATGAGTCAAACCTGACTCGATGGCACCTACCAACAAGAGCAATGTTAGATATCTAGGTAATCTTCAAGTTTTCATTTTTATAAGACTCCAATCTTGGAGCTTAAGTCTCTGTCTTCGATTGGGATTATTTACTTACATTCCGCTTTCTAGAGGTGGAATTATTAAATCAAGCAATATAACATTGTAGAAAGGTTGCACCAACAATAGAAGGGAGAGAGAGTGATAGCTAATTTTTAAACTTTATATTTCCTAGAAGCATCAGATGGTGAAGAAGGAGGAGGAGACACAGAAATGATGCAGCAGGAGACAGCTCCAATTCCTGCCCTGTCAAAGAAAGCCAAACAGGTAATAGTCATTATGGATTCTGAAATACCCTCTTTCACCTCTCTTCTTGTTGTTGGTGGTGTATGTCATCTAGTCACTTCTGACCCACAGAGACTGTAGGACAGAGTATAACTGCCCCAAAGTGTTTCCTAGGCTATAATCTTTACAGGAGTGGATAGCCAGATCTTTTCTCCACTCTCTGTGGAGTGGCTGATGAGTTTAAACCCCTGACCTTTTGGTTAGTGGCCAAGCACTTAACAATTGGGCCATCAGAGTTCCTTGTTTTACACCCCTACAGCATTAGATTTTTATTATATCATATGGGAGCTCTGGTGGCATAGTGCCTAAGGCATTTGACTGCTAACCAGAAAGCTGGCTGTTCAAACCCATCAGCCACTCCTCTGAAGAAAGACTGGACAATCTACTTCCATAGTGATACTGCCTTGGAAACCCAAGGAGTGGTTGCTGTGAGTCAGAATTGACTGATGGCAGTGAATTTGGTTTGGTTTTTTGTATATAATTATAATAAACTATAATTCTTATATCAATTAATTTATTATAATTAAATTCTAATAATTATAATTATACATTGGCTCATAACAAATTATGGATAACATTGAGAAGAATGGGAATTCCAGAACACTTAATTATGCTCATGAGGAACTTGTACATAATCCAGGAGGCTGTCATTTGAACAGAACAAGGGGACACTGCATGGTTTAAAATCAAGAAGGGAGTGAGTCAGGGTTGTATACTTTAACCATACTTATTCAATCTGTATGCTGAACAAATAATCCAAGAAGCTGGATTATATGAAGAAGAACATGGCATCAGGATAGGAGGAAGACTCATTAACAACCTACATTATGCAGACGACACAGCTTTGCTCACTGAAAGTGAGGATGACTTGAAACACTGATGAAGATTGAAAACTACAGTCTGCAGTATGGATTACACCTCAATATAAAGAAAACAAAAATTCTCACAATGGGACCAATAAGCAGCATCATGATAAATGGAGAAAAGATTGAGGTTGTCAAAGAATTCACAGTACTTGGTTCTACAGTCAACACCAACAGAAGCAGCAGTCAAGACACCAGACGTCATATGTTGTTGTTGTTGTTATGTGCTGTCTAGTCGGACCCTACTCATAGCAGTCCCTCCTTGGGTTTCTGAGGCAGTATCACTACGGAAGTAGATTGCCCTTCCTTCCGAGGAGTGGCTGATGGATTTGAACCACCAGCCTTCTGGTTAAAAGTCAAGTGCCTTAGGCACTACGCTACCAGAGCTCCTCAGACATTGTATAGCATTGGGAAAATCTGCTACAAAGGACTATTCTTCAAGTGCTGAAGAACAAAAATGTTTCCTTGAAGACTAAGGTGAGCTTGACACAAGCCATGGTATTTTCAATCGGCTCATATGCACGTGAGAGCTGGCAAATGAAAAAAGGAAGACCGAAGAAGAGTCAATGCTTTTGAATTGTGGTGTTGGCGAAGAATGCTGAAAGTACCATGGACTGCTAAAAGAACTAACAAATCTGTCCTGGATGAAGTCCAGCAGGAATGGTCCTTGGAAGCGAGAATGGCCAGACTTCAACTCACCTACTTTGGTTATGTTGTAAGAAGGGACCATTCCCTGGAGAAGGATATCATATTTGGCAAAGTGGAGGGACAACGAAAAAAGGGAAGGCCCTCAATGAGATAGATTGACACAGTGGCTGCAACAATGGGCTCAGGGCTCAAGGATCATAGAGCTGGCACAGGACCGCATGGTATTTCTTTCTGCTGTACATGAGATCGCTATGAGTTGGAGATGACTCGCCAGTACCTAACAACAACATAATTTTATTATAATTGAATTATAGTATATATGTATTTTATAATAATGACATCTTGGATTCCTATATCACATTTTTCCCAAATTCCAGCTATATTCTTTTGAGTAAAGTTCCAAGAACAAATAGCATAAGAGTATGCAAGATTATCCCCCATACAAACCCATGATCACCGTACCATGCCATGCTGGCAGCCAGCTTCTAGTGCCTTGTTTCTACTCATCATCATGGTCTGTCATATGCAGTTTTATCAGGGGATTGTTGCTTGGATTTTTCCACAAGGGGCCATTTGGATATACTTTGCTTTTTGGACCTGTGCCTTTCATTACCTTTTTGATCTTCCTACTAACCTTTGTAGGAGCTCTGGTGGCATAGTGCCTAAGGCATTTGACTGCTAACCAGAAGGATGGAGGTTCAAACCCACCAGCCACTCCTCAGAAGGAATGTTGGGCAATCTACTTATGTAGGGATACTGCCTCGGAAACCCAAGGAAGTGTCACTTTGAGTCGGATCCAATTCAGTGGTAGTGAGTTTACTAGCGTTTGTACTACTAACATTCATTTCTAGCTATCTGAGTGGCAAATCTGTACCATCACTATTTTCTGTTTTTTAGAGAATCATTTACTGTCAGAAGTTATCTTCTTCATAGTACTGATTTGTGATCTTGTTGTTGTTGTTGTTATGTACCGTTGAGTCAGACCTGACTCATAGCAACCCCTCCTTGGGTTTCTCAGGCCGTATCACTGCAGAGTAGATTGCCTAATCTTCCTTCTGAGGAGTAGCTGGTGGGTTTGAACCGCCAGCCTTCTGGTTAGCAGTCAAGTGCCTTAGGCAGTACGCTACCAGAGCTTAGGTGGCCCTAAATTTATTCCATGAGAAGGTGACTGTGTTGGATTGGGTTCTCTAGAGAAACACAAAAACCAGCAAAGTATATATATATATATTTATAGAGAGAGAAAGAGAGAGAGAGAGAAATTTATCTTAGATAAATGGCTCACAAGCGTGTAGAAGCCGACAAGTTCAAGCTGAAAAGTTC